TTTTTTTTTTTTTTTTTTTTTTTTTTTTAAATCTGGAGGAACTGTAGTTAGTAGTTGCACTTACTAGATGAACTGATTATTCACAATTTAAATTCCCAGAGATAAAAATTTTTCCTCACAGACACCAAACAAACAGAAAAGAAATCCAAAACACAGAACAATCTACAGAGCCATGGAAGGGGAGGAGCGAGATCAAGAGGAATCTGCTGTCTTGTTCACAGGCTACCTTGTTCACAGGCTACAGTCCGGGTCGGGGTGGAGCCAGGACCTTTCACAGCGGTCTTCTGCCGCCCCCTGCCGGGCTCCCAGGGTCGGAGTGGGATGACAAAGGCAGCGTCGCCTGCGGGCTCGGGACCTCCCTGAGAAAGCCGGAAGTTGGTCTTCACTTCCGCTCCTCCATTCCGGTTGGCGACTAGGGGCGGAAGTGAAAGCCTCTACCAGGCGCGTAGGTACCGTGTAGGGATCCGGGAGGGCTTGGTCCCTTGGTGGTTGTCAGCAGGTCTGGATGAGCCTCCTGAAGTAGTGCCCCGGAGGGAAGACGAGTCTGGGCTGTGGAATTGCTGTGGTTGGTTAGACTCACGTGGGTTCAGGTGTCTACGCCCCAGACAGCCGAGACTAGCTAGTGAGGGAGCCCCTCGTGGGCCACTTTTTGTAATTTTAGGGAGTGCCCATCTTTTACGTTGTTGTGGGGGATTAGGTAAGAAAATTTTTGTAAAACAGGTACTTGGTTTCGCTCCCTTTTCCCCATCACGCATGGAGGAAGGCGTTCCTTTGCTCTTTAAGTATGAGATGTTTAGTTTGCAAGAGGTAGTACGTCTCACAAAAACAGGTAGAGTTGGCTTGCCTTCATCTCTTTATTCTCTGTTACGAATTGCTGATGATATTTTTCTCTTTTCTGGGGTTAGGGTGGTAGAAACCGCTGCTCACTCTTTCTGGAGGGATGCAAAGTCTTAAGACAAATACGGCGAGGAAATGTATTGCTGTTAAAATCTCCACACTTAAATTGCTGTGTCAAAGGCAAACCTGGGAGTGTGCTGTCCTAGGACCAAAGACATTTCCTCAGAAGCACCTTAGCAGTCCAGTTGTAGAGCAAAAGGGAGCGTGAATCTTATTCCTTAGACCTCACGGGTTGCAAGTACAGACGTTTTCAGTGTGTTTGCTAAATTTAACATCCCTTAAGAAAATAGCTTAGGCTGATTAAAGAATCAATTTGTGAGGTAGGTAGAAGTCAAGCGTGATATTTACTGTTTTTGAAAATGGTAGATCAAGGAAGCAGATACTTTTATCAGACTTTTTAGTCACCTTGTCAGATGTTACAGAATTTTTTTTTTTAAATAGAGATCAGCTGCTAAAATAAAACATTGATGTTTTAGAAGTTTGCCCTTTCTGTGTGCTCAAAACTGAGAAAGATAAAGGCAACATATTTACATTGCTCTTTGTGTCCCTAGACCAACTTAATTTGTTTACATTTTGCCTAATTGCAAAATATCACATAGCCATTAAATAAAATAGTTCTGAAGCAGTACAGCTCCCCATTAGTCTTCCAAAAATAGGTATTGTTTCACTTTCTGTCTTTATATGTTAATGCCAATATAAGTGGTACTGTTCTATCCATTTTCTTGTGCAGTGTGCCACTTAGTATATCTTGGACATTAAAAAATATACCTCAATTTTTTTGGCACCTGTATAGTATTGAAAATTTATATTGCTCAGATAGAATTCTTTTAGTCATTCTCTTGGTGGCCATTTGAGGTTTCTTTTTGCTGTAGCAGATTACATTGACAAGCATACTTGTACCTAACAATTTTTTATTTCCCTTTTTATTTTCTTTAGATAATTTCCAGGAAGTGGAAGTACTGGGGTAGAGACTATGAACATTAAAATTGTGATACATGGTGCCAGATTTCTTTCCCTCAAGCTTATTTACAGTATTGTTAGTTACTATTGATTTTTTTGGGGGGGGTCTTTTTGACACAGGGTCTTCCTGTAGCCCCAACTTGCCTGGATCTCACTATGTAGTACCACCACGCCCAACTAGCTACTATTGATTTTTTTTTCTTTTAATATTTTATCTATTATTTTTATTTTATGAGTGTATTGCCTGCATGTATATGAGTGCACCTGTGTCATGCAATGCCATGGAGGTCAGAAGAGGGCTTCGGATTCCCCTGGAACTGGAGTTAAGGACGGTTCATAGTCGCCATGGGGGTGCTGGGAATCAAACCCGGTTCCTCTGCGAGAGGAGTCAGTGCTCTTAATCGCTGAGCCATCTCTCCAGCCCCACTACTATTGATTTTTAAGTTTAGCAGAGACAACTCATACTTTTGAGGATCAAGTATTAAAAATCAGTGGAAAATTTCAGTTGATTTTAGTTCTTTTTTTCTGCATAAACAGATCTTTAGGTTGAGATTCCTTAGTGGAAAATTATAAAACAAATGATTCAGTTCAGCAATAAGTGGTAGCACACGCCTTTAATCCCCGCACTTGGGAGGCAGAGGCAGGTGGATCTCTGTGAGTTCAAGGTTAGCCTGGTCTACATAGTTCCAGGACGGCTGGGGCTACAGGGGGGCCCCCTTTCAAAAAAACCAAAAAAAAAAAAAAAAAAGATTGTGTTTATATGAGATGTTATACTAGAAAATAGAACTGGAGAGATGACTCAGCAGTTAAGAGCACTGGCTGCTCTTGCAGAGGACCCAGGTTCAGTTCCAAGCACCCACATGGCAACTAACAACCATTTGTAACTTCAGTTTCAGGGTATCTGACATCCTTTTATGACCTCTGTGAGCATTGCATGAGACAGGTGCACTTATGTACCTGTAGGCAAAACACTCATAAAAAAATAATAATAAACAAAAAAGAAAATGTCCCTTTCTAAAAGATAGGACAGTTTAACAAAATAGGCCGGACTCAGAAAGATGTCTAGATTTGTGTGTGTGTGTGTGTGTGTGTTATTTGATGCAGTAGAAAGGACTGGGTGGGGAGAGATGGTGATGGGGGAATTTAGACTTATATTCTGTATAAATAAGGTGTATGTGCATGTGTGACATGAAAGCAGAAGAGGGTCTGTTTGGGAGGAGGAAGGGGACCAATGGGGGGCGGGTGGGTAATGGGGACCAAATATGGGCAAAGTACCTTAATATGTACATATATATCATATATAAAATAGAATGAAATCCTTTATTTGGTATGTTAACTGGAAAAAAAAAAAAACATTAATGAATGATAGCCAAAATAAGGAGACTAGAATGGGTCAGAATGTTGAGAACAGGAGGTCTTTTTTGTTTATGTGTATGCGTGTATTGCCTGTATGCGTGTAAGGCATCCATATAGTGCAATGCCTATGAAGGTCAAAAGAGGGCATTGGATCCCCTAGAACTGGAGTGATGGATGGTTGTTAGCTGCCATGTGGATGCTGGGAACTGAACCCCAGTCTTCTGCAAGAGCAACCTGTGCTCTTAACTGTTGAGCCATCTCTCCAGCTCCTACTTTTGTTTTTTGAGACAGTGTTTCCCTATGTAGTCCAGCCTGGCTTTGAACTTGTGATCTCCTACTTCAGCCCTCTGAGTGCGGGGTCTACAGGTATGCACCATCATGGGCTCAGGACAGTTGGTTTGAGAGCAGACATGCCAATAGTGAGACCAATAGAATAGAAACATTGGCTTAAAAAGTATTTGCAGTTCAGTGGCCAGGATTTTGACTGCCAGTTTAAAGATTTTTCTCTTTAATCAGAGGGATATAATCATATCTTTATAACTATGGTGACAGTTTTGAGTGACTTTCATTTTATTTTTTATTTATTTTTTGAGACAAGGTCTCACTATGTAGCCCTGGCTGGCCTAGAGCTCACCGTATAGACTAGGCTGTCCTTAATCTCACAGATCTGCCTTCCTCTGCCTCCCTAGTGTGTTGGGATTAAAGGTGTGCACCACACACTCAGCAACTTTTAAAAGTTTTTTAATTTTGTGAGTATTGTGTATGCATGTATGTGTTGGTGTGCTTGTGTGGGTGTGCATGTGTGGATGTCAGAGGTTGACTTGGGGTATTTTCCTCCATCTCTCCCCAGCACATTAAAAAAATATTTTATTATTTTACTGTTATGTATATGAGTTTATTGCCTGCATGTATGTGAGTGCACCTGTGTCATGCAATGCCCATGGAGGTCAGAAGAGCACATTGGATCCCCTGGAACTGGAGTTTTGGAGGGTTGTTAGCTACCATGTTGGTGCTGGGAACAGAACCCTGGTCCTCTGGAAGAGCAGACAGTGCTCTTAATCACTGAACCATCTCTCCAGCCCCTCTCCATCATATTTTTTGAGACAAAATCTCTCAATGAACATGGAGCTTATTTTGTCTAGACTAGTTGGCCAGTGAGCCCTCAGGATCTGCCTTTTTCCACCCCCTGTCCCCATTGCTGGATGTCACAGGGGTACACTGCCACCCCCTGGCTTTCACATGGTGCTGGTAATCTGAACATGGATCCTTGTGCAGCAAGCACTTTACCCACTGATCCATCTTTTTAGCTCCTTGAGTGAGTTTTGTTAGAGAAACAAGTTGGTCAATTGGTTCAGGCTGAGTAAGAGAGAATACAAAGAGTTGTAATCTTGTGAAAACGACACAGTGGAGAGTTTGGGTTTCAGGGAGGCTGAAGAAGCTGAATGTGTATAATTTGATGATTGTAGGTGTGAAGAAGAGGAAGAAAGCCAAGCTCCTTTGTTGCTTATCACAAAGGACTCTTAAGATGGCGGTAATGGGGCTGGAGAAATGGCTAAGTGGTTAAGAGTGCTGGTTGCTCTTGCAGAAGACCTAGGTTCAAATCCCAGCACCCACATGGTGGCTAACAAATGTTTATAACTATAGTTCCAGGAGGGTCCAACACCCTCCTCTGGCCTCTGCAGCCACTGCTCAACACGGTTGCACTTACATACATGGCAGGCATAACACTCATGCACATGAAAAAAAAGGTAGTGATAATGACGTTACTCAGAAGAGGGCTAGTTTGGGGCTGGCAAAGACACTCAGCTTTTGGATATGTCTTCATCCTTGCAGCCTGTTGGATCATCTCTTGTATTTATTTTTATTTTTTGTGTATGAGTGTTTCCCCTGCATGTATGTAAGTATACTAGTGTCATGCAATGCCTTCCAGAAGAGGGTGTCAGATTCCCTTGGAACTGGAGTTGTGGATGATTGTCAGCTGCCATGTGGATGCTGGGAGCTGAACCTGGATCCTCTGCAAGAGCAGCCAGTGCTCTTAACCACTGAGCCATCTTTCTAACCCCTGGATCATTTCTATAAAGTTCTTCATAAAAATGGTCTGATCTCCATTTGTGTTCTGTCCCATTCTCCAGCAGAGGTCACCCTTGAATGTCTGGAGAAGAAAAGGTTGAACTGTGCAAGCCTTCATTCTCAAGTAAGAATGGGAATCTTATTTTTAGATTTCTAAATTCATGCAGTTTTGGAGCATTGGCGTATGGGGTGGAATGTGGTATGGAAAAGTGATGAGTGGCAAGCGCAGTAGACTTTGGATCAGCCCAATGTGTGCTTATGTTCTTGTTGTCTGCTGATTGCTTGGTGAGTGCCTTGCATTTGAATTTGAAGGTTACTTTATTTCACAGTTTTAGAATCTTTTCCCAATTCTTTAAGAATCTGTGAAAATACAAGAATGCTTCTATTTTACAGAAATACTCCAAGGTTATTTGTTTTTGTTTTTTCATTGGTTGAATTGAAAGGTCAGGCACAGAGGCTTTCTTTGAAATTGATCTGAAGGCAAAAATGGGAGTAGTAAGCCACAGCTATCTTTCTATATTTCCTATTTTATACTTAATTAGGAGAGAGAGAAAAAGGACATGCTTCCTATAAGAGCCCAGTATAGTTAGAAATCAAGAACTAAGTTTGTCATAGATTTATATTCTCAGAAAGAGAAACTGTAGGTTAAAAAAAATTATATGTTGTATGATTAGACAGCTTTGGAACAGTCTGAGAAGCTTGATGACAAAAGTACACTTTTTCTTTCCTTGTATTTCCTGTAAGTAGAGATGCTTATTTTAGTAGGGACTTACAATTATATGCATATAAATTCAACATTCATTATATGGTCTAAGCTGTGGCTGCCATTCTAGAATGATCAGGAAAATGAATTACTGAGGTTTTACTAGAAGCTGGGAACTGTGTCATGCAGTCGATGCATACAGCCCAGGATTGGCCTTGTATAGTATGATGACGGGATAGAGGAGAATGGTAAAAATAACATGTTAACATTTAGGTAAAACTGGGCATGTGGCATGTGTCTATAGCTGTAGCTACTCAGGGGACTTAAAACAAGAGAATCACTTGAGCCTAGGAATTTGAGGGTCACCTAGGCAAAGTAGTGAGACCTTGGTATAGACTTTGGGGATTAAATGTCCAAACTGTACCCTCCTTTCCTTGCTCTCACCCCTCTTCCTCAATTCCTTCTTCTCCTTTTTTTCCTTTTTGGTGTTAGAGATTGAACTGAGGTCTGCATGCATGCTAAGTATGTGCTATACTACTGATCTATCACTGAGTTATACTCCATCCCCTCAGCTCTATTATTTTGAAGATGGAAATTGATTTAGTATTATTGCTTTGTGATCAAGAAGACAATTTGGTAAACTGAGATAAAGATTGAAGTAGACTGCTGTTGTCCAGAGGTTTATATAAGCTAAGAATCAGTGTAATGGATTTAAAGGGTATCATAAATTTAGAACAGGATATTAAGGTGGACATCTGATAGTCTGAGATTTTTGTTGTTGTTGTTGTTTTTGGTGATGTTGTTATTTTTGTTTTAGGGCTAAGTTTAGAGTTTGAGGTCAAGGTTGGCAGAAGCAAAGAAGTCCAGTATCTGGGCAGGGCAAGGTCAGACATCTGGAAAGTGTAAAGGTAAGACTAGTGAAAGTGCCATTTATTAGAAACAAGCCAAAGATTTGGAAACCAGGAGGGCAAAGCAGAGGGGAGGGATAACTGATTTGGGATAGCCAAAGCAGGCATGGTGAAATAAAAAGAACAATACAGAAACAGGACAGTTCTGGGGCAGCCATGGTGCCTACCCACTTTTCTGTTAAAAGTGGAAACATTCTTATGTCCACAAATAGCCCACAGAAGCAGTGGGCCAGGGAGCAAATTGTTAGCATAGTACCAGGAGAGCTGGAGATAAAGGTATTTTCTTATAGAAAGGCCCATAGTACTTACAGGATTGTAATAATGTCATTATCTACTTAACACAGGCATTTGTGTAATAGTATATATTAATGTTGTATGTTATTTTACACAGCATCCTAGGGCTGTCTGATGATTATGGCATCAAGAAACGTCTGGTATATAAGAAGTAACTTTCTCTTTGGTTCAAGATGTTGGATGATCCGATATTCAGCAGAAATCTTCCTCAAATCAATTTCCTGCAGGCCTTTTAATGTGAAATGTGACAACAAAAACACCCAGCCTTTGAAAAATGAGGACTTGCTGAACAACTTACTGACTATGGGAGTCGATATTGACATGGCCAAGAGACGGCAGCCTGGAGTTTTTAACAGGGTGGTGACGAATGAGCAACACCTGAAGATGTTCCTTCTATCCAAAGGAGCTAGTGACAAAATGATTGGCAGCATCATATCAAGATACCCACGAGCCATAACACGCACTCCTGAAAGTCTTTCAAAGCGGTGGGGTCTGTGGAGAAAGATTATGACATCAGACCTTGAAATTGTAAATATTCTGGAGCGTTCTCCTGAATCCTTCTTTCGTTCTAACAACAACCTAAATTTAGAGAATAATATAAAGTTCCTCTCCTCAGTTGGATTGACTCATAAATGCCTTTGTCGATTGCTAACCAGTGCCCCTCGAACCTTTGCCAATACTCTTAAGTTGAATAAACAAATGATTGAGTTTTTGCAGCAAGTCTGTTTGTCCTTGGGTCACAACAGTCCCACAGATTTTGTCAGGAAGATAATTTCTAAAAATCCTTCCATCTTAATTCAGAGTACCAAAAGAGTGAACCGTAATATTGAATTTTTACAGTCAACTTTCAACTTAAACAAGGAAGAACTTCTGCTTCTGATATGTGGTCCGGGAGCTGGACTTCTAGACCTGTCCAATGACTATGCCAAGAAAACGTACAAAAATATCAAAGAGAAACTGGGCTCTTTGGGGTGTACTGATGAAGACATACAGAAATTTGTCTTAAGCTATCCAAATATGATCTTTTTGTCAGAGAAAAAGTTTAATGATAAAATAGATTTCCTTATAGAAGAAAAAATCAGTATTTCACAAATAATTAAAAATCCTAGGATTATGGACTCGAGCATAAATACTTTAAAAACTCGAATCAAAGAATTGGTACATGCTGGGTATGACTTGAGTACATCAAACATTGCCCTTTTATCCTGGTGTCAGAAAAGATATAAAGTTAAATTGGAAAAGCTAAATGGATTGAAAAGTGCTGGAGGACTCTTACAGTGTAATGATACTTAATTTTGAATTTGGCCTTTTCAAAAAGTTTTTTAAAAAAATATAAATCTTTAAAAAACATGTTTAAGATTACATTTATTTATTTGCATGTGTGTGCCTGTGTGAGTGCCAAGGCAGGTATGTGAGGTCAGAGGACAAGTTTTGGGAGTTGACTCTCCTACCATGTGGGTCCCAGGGAATAAATTTAGATCATTAGTCCTGGCAGCAAGTACCTTTCCCCACTGAACAATCCTACCATCCTCAGAGTTTTGAATTTTAACTGCAGATAATATCTATAATGATCCTTTGGAGATTTTGTTTTATGAGTTGGTATGTGCAAGTCCTCCCAGCTACTCCTTCCTGTTGGAATTAATGTAGTATTCCATTATATGGTGTAGGCTGTGATTGCTGTAGAGTAGGGTGGGTGCTGAGTTCCACAGCAGAACAGCATGTAGAGAAATTGTACAGAATATGCTTTTGTGGTTTCTGAACAGAATTTAACAGTCAGCTGATTTGGGCTGGGGATATAACTCAGTTGGAGAAAGCTTGCTCAGCATGTGGAAGGCCCTGGGTTTGATCCTCAGCATAGGAAAAAGAGATTGATAGGTTTACTTGGGTTCTGTTTCCTCTCATTATTTTGAATCACAAGAGATTCTGTTATTGTATCTAATTATGGCTCATCTTCAAAGTATAATGCCAGTAAAAATAGTAAAACTGAGACAGAAAGGACTTTCCACCCCATGTTTCACATTCTCCATTTGAACAATTAGTGTCTCCCTGCCCAAAGATTAACTATAGGTAGGTATATCCTGATTTTGTTACACATGGGCAACTTGGTAGGTAGAATAATGGCTACCCAAAGATGTTAATATCTTAGCTCCCAGAAGCATGACAATATTGTGGTACATTGCAGTTGTATTAAATTAAAATGTGGTTAAGAATTGTAGCACTTGGGAGGCTGAGATAGGAGGATTGTGAAATTGAGGCCAACCTGGCCTACAATCTTGAGGCCCTGATTATGTTAAAGGTCTTAAGAGAGCCTGACTTGGTGGTTTAAGCCTTTAATTCTAGCACTTATTTTCTTTCTTTCTTTTTTAAAATTATATATATTTATTTTTGGTGGTGAGTGCAGACACAAGTTGTAGAAGTTGGGTCTTCCACTTTGTGGATTCTGGGAATAGAACTCATAGAACTCAAGTTGTCAGGTTTGACATCAAGTGCCTTTACCCATTGAACCATCTGAGTGACCCAGTATTTGTTTGATGTAGATTTTGAATTAAATCGCATAATCTTTTAAACTTTATTTGCTCTAATTGATGTCTCTACCCTACTACAAAAATACCTTTTCATCCATGTTTATTGCTGCCCTTTTCACAATAGTTGGAAATTGGAAACAACCTAGATGTCCATCAACTGATGAATGGATAGTGAAGGTATGGTGCATGTACACAGTGCAATATTATTCAGCTCTTAAAAAGATGAAATTATGAAATTCACAGGTTAATAGGTGGAACTGGAAATAATCATCCTGAGGGAGGTAACTCAGACCCAGAAAGACAAATATTTTATACTCACTCTCATAGCTGGATACTAGCTTTGAAATCCTAGTTATGCATGTTTCAATTTGAAAATCCAGAGAAGTCAGGGAACTAATAAAAGACCAGGGGACTTTCTGGGAGGGTGGTAGAATGCAGTGTTATAAGGGGGGCGGATAATAAAATCTGAAGGGTTAAATGGGGTGGGGAATGGGAAGGCAGGGCAGAGGGGGGAGTATACAGAGGGATGACCAACTCTAAAGATTATTTTTAGAAAAAGCCTCTAACACTATAGAAGCTTCTTAAAGTATATACATATACATTATAAAGCAATTAAAAAGGGTTACCTTGAGGTTTCCCTCCTGGCTAGTAGGGGTCCAGACTTTTGGAGATAGCCTAAGAGTGTCTGACTCAGGCTCTGTGGGGTGAGCTTCTGGAATTGTGCCATGCCCATCCCCCTCCTTTGGAACCAGCTGTAGTCCTTCCCACGGCCCCAGGGCCAGGCTTCTCTCATGGCTAGTAGCTGCCCAAACCTTTGGGTACTGCCTAAGAATGTCTGACTCAGACTCTGCAGGATGAACTTCCCAAATCCCAAACTGTGCAGTACCCATCTCCCTGCTTTGGGACCATCTGCAGTTCCTCCCACTGTCCCAGGGCCAGGCATCTCTGCTGACTAGTAGGGAGCAGCACATCTGTCTCCCATCAGGTAAAAGGTGTTAACCAGATCTTCAACATTGTTCTAGAAGAAATTTTCCCCAAATTAAGGAAAGAAGCACAAAGAACATACACATACAAATACAAGAAGCACACAAAACACCAAATAGGACCAGAAAAGAAACTCCCCACAGCATATCATAGTAAAAACACTAAATGTACAGAACAAAGAATACTGAAAGCGGCAAGAGAAAAACAAGTTACAAATAAAGGAAACCCATCAGAATCACAGCTGACATTATTACTATTACTATCATCATCATCATCATCATCATTATTATTATTATTATTACTATTATTTTGTCTTTTTGAGACAGGGTCTGCCTATAGCCCTAGCTGGCCTCAAACTCACAGAGATCCACCTGCCAAGTGCTGGGATTAAAGGTGTGTGCCATCTTGTCTGGCTACAGCTGGCTTTTCAATGCAAACTATCAAAGCCAGAGAGCCTGGACCAAAGATTCCCAGTTCCAAATGACCATAGATGTCAACCCAGAATACTTTGTCCAGCAAAACTGTTTATTATAGTTGAAGGGGAAGGAAAAAAATCTAGACTGAAAAAAAAATCTAGGCTGAAAGAATTCATGTCCATTAAACTAGCCCTTCAGAGAATATTTGAAGCAATACAAAGGTGTAGGGACTGTGAAATAGTGTTACTATAGTTTTAAAAATTATGCTTGGTAAGTTTAGCTGAACCTTGAACATGTATGCCTGGAGAGCCTTGTCTCATGAGAAAGTTTATGCAAGAATGCTTGCTGGGCAGTTAACTCCAGAATGCCCGTACTCCCCTAGTTTCTCAGGAGACACTTTGATCTCTCAAGGCATTTTATGGTTGTTCTGTTATCCTGCTCATTATATTTTACTAAACTACTATATTCTGGCCACTTTATTATTACCCATTGTTCTATAAATACTCAGCTGTAGCTCTAATGGGTATGAGTATATAAGCATAGTTGCTTGTGCTTTTGGCACTCATGCATGGATGAAGAAATAAGAATAAAGAAATAACACTGCACAAGTCCCCTGGCCTTTTCTCAGTTCTGTGATAATCCATTCAGGTCCTGTGGCTGTACCCCTGGCAGCCACAAAGGACTGAAGAAAAGAACAACTATGTGCAGGAGAGAACAGAAAGAAAATAAATGAAGGTATAATTGTGGAAACACAAAATTAAGACCAAGAATGCAAACATAAAAAGACAACAACCAATACACATCTTTCAATAATAACTTTAAATATCAATTGTCTGAACTCCCCAGTCAAAAGACACAGGCTAGTTGAATGGGTTAAGAATGAAAATCCATCTTTTTGTTGTCTGTAAGAAATTCATCTCACTTTCAAGGATAGGCACTACCTTAAGGTAAAAGGATGGAAAAAATATTCCAAGTAAATGGCACTAAGAAACAAGCAGGGGTTGCAATTCTAATATCTGACAAAATAATCCTCCAACTAAAACTAATCAAAAGAGATAAAGAGGGTCACTCTGGTCATTCTGATCCATGGAACAATTGACCAAGAAGGCATTACAATCATGAACATATATGTACCAAACTCTGGTGCACCCAGTTTCTTAAAAAACAGTACTACAGGACTTTAGGGCACAGATTAGCCCAAACTTAGTAATAGTAGGGGACATCAATACCCCACTGTCTATCCCAATAGACAGGTCAACAGGACAAAGAATAAACAGAGACATTTGAATGAAATGATACCATACATCAAATGGACCTAACAGACATTTACTGAATATTTAACCCAAGCACCAAAGAATACACTTTCTACTCAGCAGCTCCACAAAAATTTCTCTAAAATTGACCACATACTGAAGCACAAAACAAACCTCAACAGATGCAAAAAAAAAAATTGAAATAATTCCATGCATTCTATCAGAACACAACACAATGAGCTGAAAATCAACACCAAAAGAAGTGCTAGTAACTACACAATCTTATGGAGATTAAACAATATACTCTTGAATGATGAATGAGTCAAAGAAGAACTTAAGAAAGAAATAAAGTATCCCTGGAACTAAATGGAAAGGATAATACAACATAACAAAACCTCTGGGACACTTTAAAAGCAGTCCTGGGAGGGAAGTTTATAGCTCTAAATTTCCTACATTAAAAAAATTAGAAAGAGCACAAATAAATGACCTAACACTGCAACTCAAGATGCTGGAAGGGCAAGAACAAATGAAACCCAAGTCCTGCAGATGAGAAGAAATAACAAAAATCAGAGCAGAAATTAATGAAATCAATGAATCTAAGAGCTGGTCCTTTGAAATGATAAAAAGATAGACAGACCCTTAGCCCAGCTAACCAAAAGAAAGGAAGAGCAAATCCAAATCCACAAAATCTGAGAGGAAAGGGGAAACATCATAACAGACAACAGAAAGATCCAGAACATTATAAGGGAATACTTTAAAAACCTATACTCTAATTTGAAAACCTAAAAGAAATGGATGGGTATCTAAAATCATACGAATTACCAAAGCTAAACCAAGAAGAGATCAGTAGCTTAACCCCCCCCAAAACAAATAAGGAAATTGAAACAGTAATACAAAAGCTCCCAACTAAAAAAAACCCAGGCCCAGATGGATTTACATCAGAATTCTACCAGACATTTAAAGATCTATAATCAATACTACTTAAATTATTCAAAAAGATAGAATCAGAGCGAGAACTCCAAAACTCCTTCTATGAAGCCAGCATTACTCTACTACCAAAGAAAGAAAACTATAGACCCATATCCTTAATGAACATAGATGCGAAAATTCTCAACAAGATACTTGCAAACTGTATACTGACACACATCAAAAAGATCATCCACCATGATCATGCCAACTTTATTTCAGAGATGCAAGGATGGTTCAATATATGTAAGTCAATAAATGTTGTAAACATATAAATGGACTCAAAGACAAAAATCAGTGGTTATTTCAATAGATGCAGAAAAGATCTTTGACAAAACTCAACATGTATTCATGTTAAAAGTCCTAGAGGGAACTGAACTGGAGGGAACATAATTAAAGCTATATACAGCAAGCCTATGGCCAACATCATTCTGAATGGAGAAAACCTGGAAGTATTCCCATTAAAACCAGGAACCAGACAAGGATGTCCACTATCTCCATTCCTCTTTAATATAGTGCTTGAAACACTGCTAGAGCAATAAGACAAGAAGGAAATTAAAGGAGTACAAATTGGAAAAGAAAAGGTCAAGTTATCCCTATTATATCTAAGATATACCTAAGAGATCCCAAACATTCTACCAGAAAACTCCTAGAAATGATCAACACTTTCAGCAAAGGGGCAGGTTACAAAGTCAGTCTACAAAAGTCAGTAAC